TCCAAAGGGATCTGTCAAGGATGGGCGAGTGGGTGTCAACATGGCAAATGGGGTTCAATGTGGCCAAGTGCAAAGTGATGCACATTGGAGCCAAAAATCCTAAATATAAGTACACATTGATGGGGTCCAAACTGGCAGAGACTGACCAATAGAGAGATCTTGGAGTTGTAGTAGATAACTCAATGAAAATGTTGAGATAGTGTGCAACTGCAATAAAAAGGCCAATGCTATGCTTAGGAAGGGAATTGAAAACAAATCAGCCAGTATCATAATGCCCCTGTATAAATCAATGGTGTGACCTCATTTGGAATACTGTGTACAGTTCTGGTCACCACACCTCAAGAAGGAGATTATAGCTTTGGGAAAAGTGCAGAAAAGGGCAACTCGGATGATAAAAGGGTTGGAACACCTTCCCTACGAAAAAAGGTTAAAGCGCTTGAGGCTCTTTAAGTTTGGAGGAACGACGGCTGAGGGGTGACATGATCGAGGTTTATAAGATTATGCATGGGACAGAGCAGGCAGAGAAAGAAGTCCTTTTCTCCCTTTCTCACAATACCAGAACTCTGTGGGCACTCCATGAAATTGCTGAGCGATCGGGTTAGAACGGATAAAAGGAAGTACTTCTTCACCCAAAGAGTGATTAACACATGGAATTCACTGCCACAGGAGGTGGTGGCAGCTACAAGCATGGACAGCTTCAAGAGGGAATTGGATAAGCCTCTGGAGCAGAGGTCCATCAGTCGCTATGAGCCACAAGGTATAGATAGGAACTCTCAGTCTGGGGCGAGAGATGCTCTGTCTTCTTGGCTTCTGATGTCCTGGCCCCACGGGTGGACCTTCTGATGGCACCTGGTCTTTTTGGCCACTGTGTGACAGAGAATGCTGGACTGGATGGGCCATCAGCCTGATCCAACATTGGCTTCTCTTATGTTCATTCTGGCCAAGGGCTCTGTTTTTGTGGGATTCTCTGGCTCGCGCTCATTAAGGAGGAAGGGTAGGGGCTTCCCGTAAGGGCCACCGTTTTGTGGACACACCCTTCTCCCCCCCCATCCCCAGTCTAAAAGACCTTGTTCCAGCCATGATTCGCCAAGCGCCAGCCCTGAGAGTGCCCAGGGACCCCCCTCCCCTGCTCTGCCCACCACCAGGCCCCTTGCTTCTGCTTCCTTTCCTTCCCACCTACCCTCATGCTCCCCCAGCCTGTGCCCCCTCGCTTGTTTGCAAGGCCTCCACCACCACCCTTTGTGCTGACAGGCGCCCAAACGACCAGCCTGCCCTTTCCCTGACAGCGCATCTCACTGGAAGGGCCAACGCTGCCAACACTGTTCATCATCTGTACACCTTTCCTGGTGGCACCCAGTTTGGTGTAGCGGTTAGGAGCGCGGACTCTAATCTGGGAGAACCGGGTTTGATTCCCTACTCCCTACACATGGAGTTGGCTGGGTGGCCTTGGGTCAGTCACAAGTTCTCTCAGAGCTGTTCTCTCAAGGGCAGTTCTGGAAAGAGCTCTCTCGGCCCCACCTACCTCACAGGGTGTCGGGAGGGTGAAGGAAAAGAGATTGTAAGCCACTCTGAGACTCCTTCGGGTAGTGAAGGACCAGGTATAAATCCAATCTCTTCTTCTTTTTCTCTCTATATTCAGCTGGGAGTGCAGGTAGGGAGGAAGGAGCGCGTGGGTGGGCGGCAGGGCAGGAACGTGGCCATGGGCCCTACCCGAAGCCTTGGGGCCCGGCAGCTGCCTCACCTCAGGGTACGCCGACCTCAGTCCTGCCCCAACCAGGTGAGCGTTGCGAGAAATGCAGGCGTCAGACTTTGCTTTCTCCCCCTCCTCCAGATAAGCAGTTCCTGGCGTTCTTCTTCAAGCAACTCAAGGTTAACCAGAGCGGGCGCTACGAGGACACCTTCCCCTACCTCTCCCCCTGCGGCCGTGAGCACAACTACATCCGCTGTGACGACCGGCCCGTCGTCTTCACCCACCTCCTGCAGGGCGCCTCCGGCGAGGAGCTCCTGTCCTACTGCGGCGGCGCAGAAAGACTGACCGTGCCCTTCCGGCCCGAGAAGCTGCTGATGCTCCCGGAGAACGGGCGCGTCTACCACCCCGGCCCAGAAAAGGCGGGCGGCGTGGGGCTGGTGAAATCCGCCCTGGCCTATGAGCTGAGCCCCAATTTTGAGTACGAGCAGGGACCCAGCCAGCCCCCCACCCATTTTCACTGGCGGGACCAGCGCCACACCCTCACTAATGAACTGCTGCCGTTCATCCGAGACCGGGAGGAGGAGAAGGGGGCCTAGAGGCAGTGCTCGCGCGGGTTCCCTTTGACAACCCGCGGGTGACCTGCTGCCTTAATCACGTGGAAACCATTGTCACCCACCTGTGCGGTCACTACAGCCATAATCCCAGGTTCATCCGAGCAGCCAGCAGAACGTTTTCGTTCCAAGGCAGCTAATAGTCTGTTAGAATGTGGCTGTTCCGAATCTTACGAGATCCACTCGAGCGTTTGTGGGATTTTGTGTGAGGCTTGGTGGGTCTTGTCAGTAGTTCTGGAAGCGGGACCATCAAAGACCATTCCGCCCCTTCCCAACTGAGAACCGATGGAGCCAGGCCATGGGGCACTGCTGACCAGCGGTCCCAGCAGGACACACCCCTCTCGGCCTTACTCGCTTGCAACGATGCTGGGGTACCTACCGACCGGTACCACAGTAAAGCTGGCGCTGTCCCTTGGGATCGTCTCTTCCTTGGGTTGTCATGATTTATTGGTCTGTTTGTTTAGGAAATCTGCTCTGAAGCTCGTGTAAAATACAGTTGCAATAAAGCAGTCAACGAAAGACCGTAAAATATCGGCATGACAGAAACCTGGCAGGAGGAGTCGATAAACCAACAGATCGAACATGAAAAGGCTCGCAGGAAGCAAAACAGCTCACTTCGAGCCCAGCGGCACCTTGGAGACCAGCGCGGTTTGGGGTGGGGATCGGCTGACAAGAGTCCAAGCTCCCAGGATAGTTCCAGGGGGCAGCTGTGTCGGGCTGCGGTAGAAGAGCCAGATTCGGGCGGGTGGGCCAGGGAAGGCCGGGGGGGCTCTCTCCACCCCACCTGAAACAAGCCCCCACCCCCTACACCCCCACCAACCTACCCTGCCTTCTGGCTGGTGGTGGCGGTGGCGGCAAAGCAGAGGCAGTACGTGCTGCTTCCCACTCCTCCTGGCCCTACTGAGGGCTGCTGGGGGCGGGGCTTCCCGCTCCTGGGCTTGTTACTGCTGGAACGCCGTCCCAGCCCGTTCCGGCTGGAAATGACCCCTGGTCTTGAGGCTGTGAATGCCAGATCTCCGGAAAGTATGTAGGGTGGAGGGGTGGAGAACACAGAGTCCGGGTTGGGGATGACTAGGAAAGGGATCGGAAGGCACACAGAAGGACTTCTTTCTGCAAGCCATCATTAATTTATGGCATTTATAAGCGCCGGAGGTATTGATGGGCACTAATAAGGGAGGGGCTGTGGCTCAGGAGTAGAGCACCCGCTTGGCATGCAGAAGGTCCCAGGTTCAATCCCCGGCAACATCTCCAGCTTAAAGGACCAGGCAGTAGGCGATGAGAAAGACCTCCACCTGAGACCCTGGAGAGCTGTAAAGAGGCGCTGTGGCTCACTGGCAGAGCATCTGCTTGGTGTGCAGAAGGTCCCAGGTTTCAATCCCCGGCAGCATCTCCAGCTAACAGGACCAGGCAGAAGGTGATGTGGAAGTCCTCTGCCTGAGACCCTGGAGAGCTGTAAAGAAGGGCTGTGGCTCAGTGGAAGAGCCTCTGCTTGGCATGCAGAAGGTCCCAGGTTCAATCCCCGGCAGCATCTCCAGCTAACAGGACCAGGTAGGAGGTGATGTGAAAGACCCTCAGCTCGAGACCCTGGAGAGCGGCTGCCAGTCAGAGTAAAGACTGACCTTGCTGGACCGAGGGCCTGATTCAGTATAATGCAGCTTCATGCGCATAACCTGGCCTTTTCAAAAAAGAAATTAAGCACACGTATGAAGAACAGGTCTATCAGTGGCTGTTGGCCGAGAGGGCCAAATGAAACCTCAGATGTATTGATTCGTTTAAAACAATATGCTGCCTTTCCACCCAAACAGATGCCCCAAGGTGGCGAACATCGAGACATTACGACATTTAAACATTATACTAACATTATATAAAACAGTGCAATAAAAACGAATGGACAAACACACAACCAGGGAGGCGGGTGAGTAAGAGCTTTACTGGGGCTTCCTCAAATGCAAGAAAGTCCCCAAGACAATGACAAAGGGAGAGGAAGTATGTTCAGAGAGAGCATGCTGCTGAATACTCGCTGTGGGGAGGGGGAATGGAAGGGGGTCCTTACATTGCTTGGGTGGGCTTCCTGAGGCCTTGGAAAGGAGGATGGCAGCCAGTGTTCCCTCTAAGCTGTGGAGTCTTGTGAGCAAAAATTCTATTTTGTGAGCTATTGGCATTAAAGTTGTGAGCAAGAGATTTGGCTGCTGGATAAACTAGTTTGCTCTGGAGCTGTCCTTCCTGAGCTAAGACAAAAATGTGTGAGCTAGAGGCTAAAAAACTGTGCGCTAGCTCACACTCACTCCGCTTAGAGGGAACACTGATGGCAGCCCAGATGGATCTCTGGCTTGACCCACCAGGTCTCTTAAGCAACTCCAAGGTCCTAACAGGAGCATGCTCCATGCCACCTCCTTTAAGACTGCCCCCGAGAAACATTATGGCACGAGCACCCAGTGTGGTGTCCGAGGGCAGAATGGCACCCACAAAGAGGAGGAGACTGGATTTGTACCCCGCCCTTCACTACCCGAAGGAGTCTCAGAATGGCTTACAATCTCCCCACCCCACCCCAGATACCCGGTGAGGTAGGTGGGGCTGAGAGAACTCTTTTGAAGACTGCCCTTGAGAGAACAGCTCCGAAGGAACTTGCGGCTGACCCAGGGTCACACCTGCAGCTGCATGTGGAGGAGTGGGGAATCAAACCCAGTTCTCCCCAAAAAAATAATTAATTTTTATTTATATCCCGACCTCCCTGCAAGCGGACTCAGGGCGGCTTACAAAGAGCAGCAAGTGCCCACGCATAAAAACAGTAAAACCGGGAAAAGGGGGGGAGAATTAGTCTGTGCTCCTAAACGCTACACCAAACTGGCTCTCTGTGTGCCCGTGAAGTGTTTTTAAGAAGTGGATGGAGCCAGATCAGGCTTTTGGCGCAGCAAGGCTCCTGATTGGCTATTGGAGATTTGATTGATTGTGCAGTCTTTTTAAATGTTGGTTCGGCAGCAGCTTGCCACCATAGCCCAAGGATCTTGAATGTGTGAGTGAAGGTAAGCTGCGGCAGCCGCTTTGTGTGGCAGCCATTTTGCCGCTGCGCCCACCATGCCATGTCAGAATTCGAAAGGTGCCTTCAGAAGCCAGTTTGGTGTAGTGCTTAAGAGCGGCAGACTCTAATCTGGGAGAACCGGGATTGATTCCCCACTCCTCCACTGGCACCTGCTGGATGACCTTGGGCAAGCCATCGTTCTCTCAGAGCTGTTCTCTCAAGGGCAGTCCTCGAGAGAGCTCTCTCAGCCCCACCTACCTCCCAGGGTGTCTGTTGTCGGGAGGGGAAGGGGCCCTCAGACTCTGAGTCAAGGGCGGAGTATAAATCCAATCTCTTCCTCCTCCTCCTCCAAAAGGCCCGGATCCCCTGGTATAGCTGATGAGGGTTTTTTGCTACTTCTCTGTTGAGCACCTTGGTTTCAGGTTGGAGTTGCCAAACCTTTACTGGGGCTGTTCCCACATGGAGGTACCAGAGGAGGTGGTTGAAGTGAGACGTCTTCGGTGCCAGTGCTGCCTCGGAGCACAGCTGGCCGGATTCCAAAGGCAAACATCTGCCCGTTTCCATGGGAACGGCACATTCCCTCTTTCCTTCCTCTGAGAGGCTTTCAGTGCCCTTCTTCTCTGGAAGGATGTGATCCTTCCTGACGGCTTTCGATCCGGAGCCTGACCTTTGCTGACGACTCGGAGCCGGATGCTGCTCGTAGGCAGGCAGCGAAATCCTCGGTGGACTTTCTCATCTTCATCTCGGAGCCATCCAAAACGGAGATCTTTGATGGCTTCATTCAATTAATGGTTTTAGGAGACAGGGGTGCGGGTGGGCGTAAGGCAGGGGTGGACCGCCGACGGGAGAAACTGCGCTGCGAGATGAAAGAGCACTTTGATGTTGCATTTCCGAGGCCGGCTGGGCAGAGCAGACCCCCTTCCTTTCCCAAGGTTTATAGTTGGGGGGGGGAGACTGTATTTCGGGGTTTCGGAATCTTTCCAAGCCAACCTGAGCTCCTCTCATCAGCGCCTGCTTTTTCTGCAGTCACAGCCAAATTATGGCGGCCCCACGTGGATTTCAAGGCAGGAGACATTCAGAGGTGACTTGCCACGGCCTGCCTCTACAGAGCGACCCTGGGCTTCCTTGGTGGTCTCCCACCCAAGTACTAACCGGCATGGCGGGCGCAACCACAAAATGGCTGTTTCGGGAGGCGGAGCCAGACAAAAACAGCCGCCACGGCTTCCCCTCGATCATACTGTAAAGATCCTTTTAAAAACTTGCACGGCCAATCGAATCGCCAATGGGCGAAAGCCCCACCTGGTCTAGCGAAGAAGAAGAAGAGATTGGATTTATACGCCACCCTTCACTCAGAGTCTCAGAGCAGCTTACAATCTCCTTTCCCTTCCCCTCCCCACAACAGACACCCTGTGATCAGTGTTTCCCCTAAGCTGAGTTAGTGTGAGCTAGCTCACAGTTTTTTAGTCTCCGGCTCACACTTTTTTGTCCTAGCTCAGGAAGGAGGGTTCCTGAGCAAACTGACTTATGCAGTAGCCAAATTGCTCGCTCACCACTTTAATGCCAGTCGCTCACAAAATAGAATTTTTGCTCACAAGACTCCACAGCTTAGAGGGAGCATTGCCTGTGATGTAGATGGGGCTGAGAGAGCTCTGACAGAAAGAGCTCTTTTTTCAAGAACAGCTGTGCCAGAACTATGGCTTGCCCAAGGTCATCCAGCAGGTGCAAGTGGAGGAGTGGGGAATCAAACCCGGTTCTCCCAGATTAGAGTCTGCGCACTTAACCACTACACCAAACTCCCAGATTAGAGTCCGCGCACTTAACCACTACAGCAAACGCCCAGGAATGGTTTTTGTGGACACCAATGTTCCATGGGAACCACGTTGGGGACCCCCTGTTCTAGGTAATTCCCAGAGATTTGTGGGTGCAGCCTGGAGAGGGTGGGGTTTAGGCAGGGGAGGGACCTCAGCCAGGTATAAGTGATCAAGTTCACCCTACAAAGTGGGCGTTTCCTCCATCCGAACTGATCTCTGTAGTCTGGAGATGTGTCGTAATTCTGGGAGATCTCCAGGTTTCTCCTGGAGGCTGGCAACCTGACAAAACATATTGGGGAGGGCGGGTGCCAGGGTGGGTCTTTAGCAGCTCCATGGCGGACAACCCCTCTTCCCAGATGGTGTGCCTTGAACATTAGAAAGACGTGATTAACCGTCAGGAGAACTTTCTCTTGCACGCTTTGCCCAGACCGGTGCGGGCCTGGCCTCCGCCCGCCTCCTCCCGTGCTCCCCGCAATTCCCAGCTGCAGAGCCGGGAGAAGAGGCCGTTAATTAATTGCACGTTGTAATGTGCCACAGCGAGGCTGCGGAGTGTGCGGTTGCCGCCTGCCAGCCTTGTATCGAAACCTTT